CCTGTGGTATTGATTTCCTGGTCTGGTCCATCTGGGCTGACACCTATTAAATGAACTATGATTAAAATGAATTTTGCAAGAGTGCTGGGGAGTTTGCAGGGTGTGGTTAAAAAACCTAGTCGGCATGAGGTTGCAACTGAACTTCTGTTTTTATGTAGTATGTTGTGTAAAAATACATGTGAAGCACATGTATCACCCATTAAAAAGAGTGAAATTTCAATCACATCTTTGTGGCCACTATCTTGACTTTAGTATCAGCTTGGTCAAATTGTATGGCATTAAAATGATTCATTCATCTATTCTGGTATAGAAGAGATTAAAGGTGTAATTTCTAGAGAGCAGATGGTAGCACAGAAACATAAAAGCTCATAGCTATTGTATTTCTCTCTACATCAATAAGAGAGGTTATCTTTATCTTTGAATAAGTTATAATATTAATAAAAACTATTAAGAACAGAGGATTGCTCTAAAGGATAACATGAACTTGAAATTGAAAGTCTAAAGATGATGTAATGCAGAGGTCTCATTCTCGTGGCCCGTGGGCCAATTGCGGCCCACAGGACGATATCCTGTGGCCCCCACCGTGATATGAAAGTATAATATTAGTGTATAATATAAATATAAAGTATAATATAAAGTATAATATTATGTGGTCCAGCCTCACCCAGCCTCTGCCTCCAGCGGCCCCCAGGTAAATTGTGTTTGAGACCCCTGATGTAATGGCAATACAATATGTTATGGAAAGTCAATTAATACAATGTGAATGTAAAGCCAAGAGGAAAAGACTATTGATATTGTGCACAAGACATATGTACCAACTGACACACTGTATAATGGAAAAGGAGGTTTTATTTGTTAGGTTTGTTGTGAAAAATAAAAATAAAAAATTAAAAATGATGAGAGGGGTTTGCAAGTTAGAAGCAATATACAAAGAGTAGTTTGATTTGATTACAGATCATTTACTAGATGAAAAGAAAATGGAAAATCTGAGTATAAACATTGCTTTCAAAAACAACTTAATACAGGTAGCCCTCAACTTACGACAGTTCAGTGATGACAACACTGAAAAAGTTAAGTTATGACAACATTTAAAAGAGTGACTTAGATCTGGTCCTTGCACTTACAATAGTCACAGCATCTCCATGGTTACTTGAGCAAAATCCGGGCACTTGCCAATCAGCATGTATTTATGACGGATGCAGCATCCTGGGGGTTCCTGACAAGCAACATCAGTGAGGGAACCCACAGGTGCTTTTTCAAGAGGCAACTGGACTTTGTTTTTCTTTGAAGATGTTTCGCTTCTCATCCAAGAAGCTTCTTCAGCTCCAGTTACCTCTTGAAAAAGCACTTTTGGGACAACCATGACCTGGATGAGAATCTCCATAGTGACTAATCAATGGAGGAAGCCAGATTTGCTTAAGGACTGCATGGTTTGTTTAACAGATGCAGTGATTTGCTTAACAACCATGGTAAAATGATTGTAAATTCAGGCATGACTCACTTAACAACTGCCTTGCTTAGCAACAAAAAATTCTGGTCCAATTGTAATCATAAGTTGAGAGTTACCTGTAACTATGTTCTGTCTTGCTCTACCAAATTTGCTTTCCAAGGAGCAGGGCTAAGAAAGGCCTTTTGCACAGGATGAGAAGAAAACTTAGCCCAGTAACGTCTGCACCTATCCCCAGATTTTCAAAGGCATTGAGATGGGGAGTGGTTTTGCTTACAAACAGACAGTACATTTACCACAGAAATGAGCTTTCATAATTTAGGCCTCAAATTGACAACTATGATAGATATAACTGATCTTTTTAAATGTATATATCATTTACTGTACTACTCCACACCTAGGAAGATGTTTTTAATGCGTATTTCCAACCTAGTCACTAAGCAGTAGATGGCAGCCTTAGGACTTTAAGGAACAACACAGCACGGACTTCCAGGTGATGTCACGATGAGACCAGAAGCAGCAGACAGAGATCTCCATGTCTACGCTAGCTTCTCGCTGCATGTGGGCTCCGGATAGAGCCGAAAGCCGCCTTGGAGGGCTGGCAAAGCTAAGGAGAGGCACCCGGTGAGGTTCCGAGGGAGAACGCAACTCCCTTGTGGAAACCCCAAGCTTGGTCTCTATGCCACAACGGAGAGAAGAGTGGGCCAAGATGGCCGCTACAGTGTTGGGACAGCTGAGGAACATCTAAGCACAGTGCTGGAGTGGAGATTGGGAACGGTGCCTGGAGAAGGGTGAGAAGAATCAATTTTATTTTTACCTACCCCAAAAAGACTATAGCAGAGAAGATTATAGAATTGTGTTAGCGGTGGCTTGGATGACAGAAGAAGAATTAGGAAATATAAACAGTTTAAAATTTTAAAATTGTAAAAGGAATAAATTTAGAAGAACACTAATTCAGAATTGGCAATTGGACAGGATTTTTCATGGGAAGGCATTATTTTGAATGCTGAAAATAATTGTTCTAAAAGATAAATAATATTTGATTTTTAAAAATTGGCAAAGCTAATTTAGAGAAATAGGAAAAGGGTGGCTGTGAAACTGGATTAAAAGTGCCACTTGTTGATGAAAGAAAAATCCTGCAAATCCCTTCAAACTAACAATTTAATCAAAAGAATAAATTAAAAAGGAATCAAAGAAAGACACTACAATAAGACTCCTGGAAGCTGAAATATATTATAACTAAGGAATACAAGAGGATATTACCCATGGAATTATTGGTGATTTGGATTGATTAACATTGGGAAATAAAGATTTGAGAATATTGATATTAAAAAAGAGACACTAGTTCAAATAAAATAAAACTTACTGGATACTGGACAATTGGAATAATAAGTAATACAAAGATGAGTGAAATGTGTAAAGAAATAAAGATGGACCTTTGAGCCATGAATGAGATGTGGGACAGAATGTTGGATTTATGCACAAAATACAAAACATAGAGAAAAAATCGGAAATGGTGATGATAGCAGAAGAAGAAGAAAGAACAAAGAAGGGGGAGGAGCTAGAAGAAAGAGAAACCAGTGAAATGGAACAAAAGGAGCAACAAAATAATAAAAAAGAAGAAAAGAGAAATTGAACTTGAGATATTAATGATAGATGCAATAAATAAGGGGGGGGGGAATACTGAGATTGGAATGCTGATAAATGAAATGGTTAGGAAATTACAGAAGGGAGATCAGAAGAGGGTGGGGATAAACTTGGAGAAATGGGAGAAAAAATATCAGAAAATGGTAAAGAATAGAGGAAGGATTAAGGGAAAAAGCCCAAAAAATGGTAGAAAACGGGAGGTAAGCAAAGAAACAACGAATCAATATAAAAAGGAGACTTAGAGATAATGGTTAGAAATGGAAAAGAAGGGATATTTTAGCAGTAAAATATGTAAAACACAATCTGAGGAACTTGGAGTAAGAACTAGAATAAGAATAAGAAGGAATAATTAAAATGGAATAGATATGAAGATAAGAATTTATAATAGATTAACCAAGTAAGATAGATAAATGTATATGGAAGATAAAAGTGACCAATATTTAAGATATGAAAGGAAATGTTATGTGGAGCTCGACAGGGAATAGACATAACCATATAGTAAAATAATATTTTAATGAATTATATATTTTGTTTTTCATGTATATAAGGTAACGAGGTTATAATGTTATAAATTTGATACTATTGGCTAAAAGAAAATGTATTTGGATAAAAATGCAATGTTAGAGCCATGATGGTGAACCTATGGCACACGTGCCACAGGTGGCACATAGAGCCATTTGTGCGGGCACGTGAGCCCCAAGCAAACTTACCTCACTACATATGCGTGTGCCTCCCAGTTGATTTTCGGTCTGTTTGAGGCCTTTTTCGGCCTTCCAGAGGCTTGAGGGAAATCTCTGCAGCCTTTGCAGGCCTCAAAATAGGCCCGTTTCATCATTTCCAGGCTGCAGAGGCTTCCCTCAAGCCTCTGGGTGGCCGAAAAAGGCCTCAAACAGCCCTAAAATCAGGTGGGAGGCACAGTGCAGGTAAGGGGGGGGGGGAGGAAGGGATTGCGCCCACATGTGCAGGTGGTGGTGGGCCGCATGCATTGCCTTCTGGGTGGTGGCATGCAAGCACGGGGGCGCAAGCACAATTTTTGGCACAGGAGCCCAAAAAGGTTAGCCACCACTGTGTTAGAGGGAAGGGAACATATAGAAAATAAAATATATGCAACAGTGGCAAATGTAATATTGGGGTGGGGGGACATAATAGGGGATAATGTAAATTAAGATGAAATTTTGAATGGTCAATGAATGGTATGAATAGATTAAATTGCAAACATGGTGACCGTAAGAATATATGATAAAGGAAGTTAGGGATTGATTAGAATGTTTCTAATGAATTAAATATTTTGTTATCCACTTGAACAAGGAAATGAGGATATATTGTTATATTGTTGGCTAAAGAAAATAAGATGGACAATATATTTGCGTAAAAATGAGAAGTTAGAGGGAAGGAAACACATAAAAACATATGTAATAATATTGGAAAGGGGATTTAATAGGGGATAATATAAATTAAGATGAAACATTGAATGATCAATGAAATGATATGAATAGATTAAACTGTAAACCTGTTGAATATAAGTATATGATCAAGGAAGATAGTGATTGATTGACTGATATAAAGTAATTCATAGAATATAAAGAAGAAAAATTGGTAATAAATAATGATGTGATGTTAGAAAGCTGTACCTGTGACTATGGATATGGCTGGTTTAAAATGTAAAACATCTGGAATCACACTGTTCTCTCAAAGATGTATTTAAATAATTAAAAAATTTTAAAAAAACTTTTTCAAAAAAAAAAGAAACAACACAGCACAAACTTCTGCAAATGTTTCCCCAGATTCTCCAGTGATGTTGCAGTCTCTCTTTCATCAAAGGAGAAGAAGGAACTGAAAAATGGCAATGCATTTTAGTGTTGCTAGAATAAGAGTCAAATATTATTTTGGGGTGGGGGGGAAATCAGTGGTTTTCAAAGTTCCTTGCCTGGTTGATTGTCACATTGGGGAGAAGAATTTATAAGCATGCAGCAATTGGCTAATCAGCAAAGGATGTGTGGATTGGATTAAGGTTTGTGGATTGCATTACTACTCCACAAGGAAATGCAAAATGAGGAGTTAGTTACATCAGAATTGGGAGTGAAGGCAGAAGGGAGGAAAAAAAACCCGATGCGTCAGTCTTACGTCTTCTGAGTGACAGGCTTTCCTGCCTATCTCATGCTTAATTCAGTGTTTTAAAAATAGCCTCCAGATGTTTATAATTGGATAGCCACAGAGCAAGAACAGCCCATCTGAGCAAATAGGACTGTGAGAAAAGACACAGCGAGATCTAAGGAGCAGACGCCAAAAGACAGCAGAAGAAGAATCCGGACAATTGGTGGGCAAGAGGAAGGTTTTGTGCAGGTCGAAGAAATAGCTCGGTAGGGTGTCTAGAGGAATGTTGCACCACGTATAGGTGTGACCTCAGAGGCCAGGGAAAGTGAAGAGAGAATATTTGTGGATCTATGGGGTACAGGAAGAAGATTTCATAGAAGGAGCAGGAAGAGAGGCATTGGCAAAAAAAATCTGGGTAAGTCAAGGAATCCCTTCAGTGGAGTAGGAAATAGGAGAAGGTAGGTTGTTTGATTGTGAGTCATGAATATATTATGTCATAGATTTCATTATTTGATGTGGATTATGAGGCAAAGTACATGTAGGATGTGGTGGTCTGCTGACCCCAAAAAGCAGGGAGGGGGCTGCCGGCTGAAAAAGGTGGGGAGGAGTTAGGCAGTGGGTTGGCTGTTTGAGCTCATTTCTCCATGAAAAGATGGACCTTGATCCAGAACATGTGTATTAAAAAAAACACATGCACTCACAACCACAAACAGCTAGTGGCCAGGTTCCTCTAAGCTTGACATACACTTCTACCTCTCAGAAGGGATGAAAGTTGCTGTAAAAGATGGCACCTAAGCAGGTCTTGAGGTTCTGGATTGGAGATGATGGGAAAGTCCTGGTTCTCTTAGGGAAGAAGAGGCAGGTTTGACAAAAGAAAATGCTGCATCATGATGAAACCGAAGCAGCTACCACAAAAGGGAGGAAAATGAAACAACTGCAAACCCTTTTTAGGTGCCTTATACCCAGTATATGAATGGGAAGGCTGGTCTGGTGTAGTGGTTAAGGAACCAGGCTAAAAACCAGAAGATCGTGAGTTCTAGTGCCACCTTAAGCATGAAACGTGGCTGGGTGACTTTGAGCCAGTCACTCACTCTGAGCCTATGACATTAGGCTTGGGTGACAAGCTGGTTGGTCAATTTCTGTTGCAACCAATAGATCAACACATTCAATAAAGCTCAACTTTTGGGGGAAAATATCAGGAAGAAAAAGAATAAACAGTACATTAATATTAAGGAACAATATAGGCCAGCATATTAAATGCAAGTGATTCTCTGTTCTGAACTCAGCCGGCCTGTGGCAAAGCTGCAAATTGAGGCTATGTGCAAAGGTTCCTACAATGCAGAAGGCCCTGTCCCTAAAGGGGAAGCAATAGATGACTACTAATTCTCTCCCCGCCCCCCCCCAACCTAGAATTTTGACTGTTTTAATTCCTAGCAGGATTGCAGCTATTGTATCTCTTCTTTTGCCTGCCTGATTGTAAGTCTGGTCATTTCCTCTGATGAATCAGCCACAGCCATGCAGGTTGGAGAATCTGGATCTCAGTTCTAAGACTACAGTTGAGGAAGGTTCCTCTGAAACAGGGAAAGGAAACCCGTGATACCCACAATATCGAGGTAGTCCTTACAGCCATAAGTGAGCTCTGTAATTACAGTTGTAAATTGTGATGGTTGTAAAGTGAGTCCCACACATCCATTTCTGATTTTATAATATATATATTTTTGTGACATTTGATAAGGGAACCCATTGTAAATGCCAGGTTTCTGGCAAAAATGTCGTAAATCATGGTCACATGACCACAAGGGGCTGCAAATGGCCATACATACAAACTTTGTCAAGTGCCCAAAATGCAGTCATGTGACTGTGGAGGGGTGGGCGACATTAGAACTTCAAAACTGGATCATAGCTCACTTTTTGGAGGTCCATCCCCTGAGGCCAGGGGTTCTATCCATTCAGACCTGGCTTCTGAGATTAGAACAAGGCTGGCTTTACCAACCCCAAATATTCACAAACGTTGCCAGAGGCAGATTCTGATGGAGTAATCCATATTTCATGCTGTTCGTGGAGAGACTTTTGAAACCTTGATGAATAAAATACATTGCATCAATAAAGGACATTCCACTTCAGGAGACATTTAACAGTCAATATTGGAGTGGAACTGGAGTGAACCAGAGGTGGTATTGAGCAGATTCTGAAGAGTTCTGGAGAATTGGTAGTGAAAATTTTGAGTAGTTCAGAGAACCAGCAAACACCACCTCTGACTGGACATTTTACAGTATCCTTCCCCTGCCACACCCACCAAGCCACGCCCACAGAACTGGTAGTAATTTGAATTTGAATCCCACCACTGGAGTGAACAGATATACTACCTGCAGGATTAAGATCTGTTTCACTTAGTGTCTCACTTTTTCCAAACTTGTAATCTATTTCAGCACCTGTATGCATTGTTGTTGTTGCTATCAGCAAATGCCAACATTTTAACCCTTTACTATGATAGTTGAATGGTTGGTGAGTATTGTAATTCTATAACATTGTTTCCTTGTGCCTAATTTATGCGTTTGGATACATTTTTAAAAATGTGCTGATAGTGCCACAAAATCTAGAGAATGAGTAAGATCGCAAGGCTTTATTCTGGTACACACACACACACACACACACACACACACACACAATTGTATGTATGTATGTATGTATGTATAATTCTCAGAGATTGCCTGGATGAGTCTTTGTAGTTGTCTTGGAAAGCTTCTCAGAAGTACTTTGCCATTGCCTCCTTCCTAAGGGCTGAGAGAATGTGACTGGCCCAAGATCACCCAGCTGGCATTGTGCCTAAGGCAGGACTGGAATTCATATTTCCCATTTTCTAGCCTGATGCCTTAACTATTGCACCAAACTGTCTCTCATGTATAGATTAGGTGGCTTCATATTAAAATAGCAATAGCACTTAGACAGCCCTCTCTAAGCGGTTTACAGAATCAGCATATTGCCCCCAACAATTTGGGTCCTCATTTTACCCACCTCGGAAGGATGGAAGGCTGAGTCAACTTTGAAAAGGTGAGCTAAACAAATTTCTTCTAAATTTCTAGCACTAATTTTCCATCACGAAGGGGCAAGTAGGTGCCAGCCTGATTTCTCCTGAAATAAGTACCTCATCCTGAAATTTTGCACCTGAAAGTTTAGTTGGGAGAAACACATGATTGATATTCAATTTTAAATAGTCTTTCTTCAATATGGTGCGATCCCACAAACAATACTTGCAAGTAATACTTAATTTATATATCATCTTTTTAACCTGATTAAAAAAAACACCTTGTACTACTAGAAGAGACTTAAAAGGGTTGGAAGATATCAGTGGTTAATAAAATAAAAATTCAAATGATTTAAATAAATAAAAATTGACCAATTCACTACATCCTGCCTATCCAAACTCTCCATGGAAAGGATATTCTGATTTGTTTTTGCTTTTTATTTCCTGGACATTCTGATGCTAAGCTGTTCTCTGAAATTAGGAGAAATCTTAATTATGTAACCATAAGCTTTTGACTCCCCCACCCTCTGTTTAGAAAGATTCCTTGGAAGCACTGCGATTTCAGGCTAGAAGGCTGCCGTATCTCTTGGTCCTTCTGTTATCACAAGTATTTCACAGCCAACTTAAGTACTAGCAAATTATTTATTGGCTCTAGAAGACTGCATTGATTGTTAAGCACATCTCAACAGCTTCTTGGAAAGTTGTTTAGATCCAAATCACTGGCTTCTTGGAAAGCTGAAGACAATAGCTACTACAATGGAGATTGGATTGACCTTTGACAGGGAGAGCCAATTACAATCAACTTCTAAAGAGACTTACCATTCTACAAATGCAACTGAACTACCAAGTTTAGTGCATTGTGGGAATACCGAACAACTGCTCCATCAGATGACATCACAGGAAGGTCCTCCCAAAACATCTCAATGCTGGAAAAATGCTGGGAATGGGTCATCCCTTGTGGTCACTCAAGTATTGCAATCAATGAGCAGCCAGTCATGTACAGATGCCACAAACTGTGAAAAGCTGCAATCTAATGAAACAGATAGTCCTTTGAAGAGCTCAGAGCTAGCAACTTCATCTGAAGAGGTTGTGGCGGGTGCGGATACTGTTCCTGAGGTTGTGCCACCCTTGTTCTTTCCACTGAAAAACACATGGATGCTTCAACTCCACTTAGAGGATGACATTGAAGACTACCTGGAGGGATTTGAGTCCGTGGCCTACACCAACCGCTGGCCCAAGGCAGAGTGGGTTGCTAAACTGAAGCCATATCTGAGCCGCAAAGCTCTTCTAGCCTGCAACATCTTGGAACGTAGTCTTGCTAATGACTATGATGTGGTCAAAGAGCGCATCCTGCACCAATATGGTATCACAAGTGAAATGCAACGCCAGTGCTTCAGGCAGTTCCGATACCAGGAAGCCAAAGGCCCCCAAGAAACCTGCCAAATTCTCCAGGCCCTTGGACAGCGCTGGTTGAAGCCGGAAAGGCACACCAAAAAGCAGATTTTGGAGTTACTAATACTGGAGCAGTTTCTCACCATCCTGCCCCCAGAAATACAAGATTGGGTTCGAGGATGCTGTCCAAAGACTTGTGCTCAGGCTGTGGATCTTGTTGAAAGTTTCCAGCTGGGAAATGAGGTGAGAGGGATGTAAGTGGTGGAAAAACAATTTGATGTAGGAAGCTGCTGAGTTTAGTTGTACAGGTGGTAGTCCTTGAGTTACAATCACAACTGAGCCTGGGAATTACAGTCTTAAGTTGTGATGGGGCATGACCAAATTTGAATTTATGACCTTTTTCATGGAGGTTCTTAAATGAACCTGTTGGTCACTATAGGTAAATCTAAAATGCTGGTTTCAAAAAAAAACAACTGTTGTAAATCTTGGTGATGAGTGCTGCCAATAGCTGTAAAAACGTCCTAGTTGCCAAGAGCCCAAAATGCAGTCATGTGACTGGGGGGAGACACCAACATGTTGAAACCAGTTTGTAAATAGCTTTCTTTGGGGGGGGGGTGTCCATCATAATTTCAAATGGTTGCTAAACAACTGATTATAGGTTAAGGACTACCTGTATCAATATGCTAAATACCTGAATGAATGGATGCAAAGCTAGGTTGGAAAATGTAAGATTATCTAGCTCTTAGAACTCTCTTAATTTCCATCATCCCACATTAGTTGACTCTCTTCAATATAGTGGCAAGGGTGCTTTGCTCATTTGCAGGCATACCCTAACTGGGCTGTAAAAAAATCCAGACACCATTAGATGCCAGCAGTGAGGTCCGCAAAAGCCTTGTTGCCATCTAGTAGTTGTCTAGATTTGGCAGCCTGGATATGGTAAATCTCACTGATGTCAGATTTCCCTCATTCATCTGGTTCACTACACAGATGAGGGGAATGAAGATCAGGTTGAGGCAACTGTTGCAGCTTTGCAAACAGAAATAGAAACTATATGATGGTTTTGAGCCATTGATGATAGGCACTTTATTCTTGTCATTTGTTAACCAATTGTCAGCATTCTAACTTAAATCTGCATTTGTGCCTTTTCCACATATAAAAAATGTGTAGCTTCTCTTTCTGTTTGCAAAGTCACAACAGTCACCTCAATGTGATGGTGCAGGCAATGTTAAGATTCTTGCCTCTAAGACCTCTAAATTGGCTCATCATACATAACCTGTGGTTATTGCTTGAAGAAAACTCACATGTATTATAGCTTTTAATAAAACTGTGTAATAGTTTTGGCACCAGATTAGGAATCAATATGTCTGTGCATGGTCATTATATAGTATAATGCATGCAGGAAATAAGTGTATTTGTTTATTTTATTTATATATCATATTTATAAATCACCCATGATCTCCTTCATAGAGCGCTCCTGAGTGGTAAAATTGTTTCTTCTACATTCCTTGTAACATTTTGAAATGGGTGAGGTGGCTATGGGAGCTGTAAGTACTTGTCAGACCTAAGATGAAATCCAGTTGAATCCAGTTCTTTAGTTAGTTTGATATAAAGTTTGATATAAATCCAATTAAATCCAGTTCTTTAATTAGTTTGATATAAAGTTTGATATTAGTTTGATATAAAGAATATTATTTTACCTAATAGACAAATATTGATACTGTTATACCTGACGGACAGAATCTTGCCAGGCTAAAGCTATAACCTTCTAGTCTAACAGACAGACAGTATGATTGTTTCTTTTTTCATTGTTTATTCTATTGTTCCATTACTTTACTACAGTTATGCTACACTTCTTTTCATTTCTCTGTTTTTATTGTTGTAAGCTGCCTAGAGTAGCCCCATGGCAAAATAAGCAGCAAATAAATGTAACAAAATAAATAAGTAAATAAAACCTGGGAGATTCTAGAGACTTCTAGAGATTCTAGAGACTTCTAGAGATTCTAGAGACTTGTGGACTTCCCAGCATGGCAAATTCTAGGAGCTGAGATCCACTATGTCTTAAAGTTGCCAAGGTAGGTCACCCCTCTTCTAAGGTATAATTATCCTAATCCTTTTCCCATCCTCATCCAGTTCAGCACTTTCTTATCTTGGCCCCCCCACTGGAATGATCTGCCTTCTCCCTGGGAAACCGCATTGCCACTGCTGACATTTCCCACCCCACTTCTTCAGTTGCATATTCCATCACACTACTGGAATCAGAGTCAAAGTAAAATAGAGAGATCATTTGAATTCCATAGTGTTGGAAGAAATTTAATTCAGAAATTTAATATATTCCTGTGCTGCCTCTATCCTTCCTTTTAATCATTAACACAATCCGCAAGTAACTGAAACTAGAAAATTATATGGCAAACAAAGTCAATACAAAGTTGCAAATATCACTAAGCCACTTCCTCCATTGATAATCACAGTAATGACCAGGCTAAACTGATTAACCTACATAAATAAATAATAGCAGACAGGGAAATTCCTTTCACAATACAGTTTCCCTGGGTACACAGAGCTGGTGCCCAAAGTCAGCACATAAACACATATCAAAGAAAAGATCTGTAAATAAAAGTCAAATAAAACATTCCACTTCCAGAGCTACATGTCCACCAAATTAAACATTACAAAGAGCACATTCACACACATTTCACAAAGGACTGGCTTTCCTATAAACATTATCAGCCTCTGTACCTTAAGTGGTAGTCTACCTTTGTGTGCCATCTGTTATGCTCTCAAATAGTATTAGCACTTAGACTTATATGCCACTTCACAGTGCTTTACAGCCCTCTCTAAGTGGTTTACAGAGTCAGCATGTTGCCCTCAACAATCTGGGTCCCCATTTCACCAACCTCGGAAGGATGACTCAATCTTGAGCCAGTAACAATCGAACTGCTGAACTGCAGGCAGACTTGCAGTCAGCAGAAGTATCTGCAGTACTTCATTCTAATTACTGCACCACCATGGCTCAATAAAGGAATAAATATTCCTCAATAAAAGAATAACATTACATCTTTTCCAAGCAGCACGTCCAGCATCATTCTTGCAAATCCCAGCTTGTAATGGAAGCCCTCTTTCTTCTAACAATATTTATGCTGAGAGAACTGACTGAAGGGATTTAAGTGTTCATGAAAGATTTCCAATTGGTGTATTTGAGGATTAATCTGTTTGGAGTTCCGTTTTTTTCCTCATCTTATTTTTGAATGTGTCTCTTTCATCCCCTTTCTCTACCACCTCCAAAGCCACCAGTGCCATTCAAAGACATTGATGTGAAGTTCTCCAATGAAGAGTGGGCTTTGCTAACTGAGGAGCAACGAGCCCTGTATGATGATGTCACGCAGGAGAACTTTCAGAATCTGTCCACTCTGGGTGAGGATTGGCCAGTTTTCTTCAGCCCTCCTTGTTTCCCTGGCAACTCAGGAACAATGCTTTTCTAGTTTCATGATGAATCTAGCTTCTGATCAAGGGCCCAAATGACTGGAGGGGGGACTTATGGTCCACAACATTTGGAGGACATGTTCTTTGGATCATTAGGTTAGCAGGACCCTGGAGGTCTTAGGGAAATAATGGTTGTCTCCTCTCTAGCATAGTATTATTATCTGAACCTTCTAATATTCTGTAAAGGTATTTATTTATTTGGTTCAGAGACTGCCTTTCATTCAGGAGTTTAAGGTGGTATATACACTGCTCAAAAAATAAAAGGAACACAAAAATAAGATATCCTAGATCTGAATGAATGAAATATTCTTATTAAATACTTTGTTCATTACATAGTTGAATGTGCTGACAACAAAATCACACAAAAATTATCAATGGAAATCAAATTTAACAACCCATGGAGGTCTGGATTTGGAGTTACACTCAAAATTAAAGTGAAAAAAAACACTACAGGCTGATCCAACTTTGATGTAATGTTCTTAAAACAAGTCAAAATGAGGCTCAGTAGTGTGTGTGGCCTCCATGTGCCTGTATGACCTCCCTACAACGCCTGGGCATGTTCCTGATGAGGTGGCACATGGTCTCCTGAGGGATCTCCTCCCACACTTGGACTAAAGCATCCCCCAACTTCTGGACAGTCTGTGGTGCAATGTGGCGTTGGTTGATGGAGCAAGACATGATGTGCTCAATTGGATTCAGGTCTGGGAAATGGGTGGGCTAGTCCATAGCATCAATGCCTTTGTCTTGCAGGAACTGCTGACACACTCCAGCCACATGAGATCTAGCATTGTCGTGCATTAGGAGGAGCCCAGGGCCAACCGCACCAGCATATGGTCTCACAAGGGGTTTGAGGATCTCATCTCGGTACCTAATGGCAGTCAGGCTACCTCTGGTGAGCACATGGAGGGCTGTGCGGCCCCCTAAAGAAATGCCACCCCACACCATTACTGACCCACTGCCAAACTGGTCATGCTGGAGGATGTTGCAGGCAGCAGAACGTTCTCCACGGTGTCTCCAGACCCTGTCACGTCTGTCACATGTGCTCAGTGTGAACCTGCTTTCATCTGTGAAGATCACAGGGCGCCAGTGGTGAATTTGCCAATCTTGGTATTCTCTGGCAAATGCCAAACATCCTGCACGGTGTTGGGCTGTAAGCACAATCCCCACCTGTGGACATCGGGCCCTCATACCACCCTCATGGAGTCTGTTTCTGACCTTTTGAGCAGCCACATGCACATTTGTGGCCTGCTGGAGGTCATTTTGCAGGGCTCTGGCAGTGCTCCTCCTGTCCCTCCTTGCACAAAGGCAGAGGTAGTGGTCCTGATGCTGGGTTTTGCCCTCTTATGGCCTCCTCCTCATCTCCTGATGTACTGGCCTGTCTCCTGGTAGCGCCTCCATGCTCTGGACACTACGCTGACAGACACAGCAAACCTTCTTGCCACAGCTCGCATTGATGTGCCATCCTGGATGAACTGCACTACCTGAGCCACTTGTGTGGGTTGTAGACTCATGCTACCACTAGAGTGAAGGCACCGCCAGCATTCAAAAGTGACCAAACCATCAGCCAGAAAGCATAGGAACTGAGAAGTGGTCTGTGGTCACCACCTGCAGAACCACTCCTTTATTGGGGATGTCTTGCTAACTGCCTATGCTTTCCACCTGTTGTCTATTCCATTTGCACAACAGCATATGAAATTGATTGTCAATCAGTGTTGCTATCTAGGTGCACAGTTTGATTTCACAGAAGTGTGATTTACTTGGAGTTACATTGTGTTGTTTAAGTGTTCCCTTTATTTTTTTTTGAGCAGTGTATGTAGCCCTCAGTTTATGAACTCAATTGAGACCCAATTTTACAACTTTTTTTGCCGCAGTTGGTAAGCAAATCATTGCAGTTAAATTAATTATATCATTAAGTGAACCTGGTTTCTCTCACTGACTTTGCTTGTTGGAAGTGGCTGGGAAGGTTGCAAACTGTCAGGTTCATGTGATCCCAGGATTCTGCAACCATCATTAAATACATGCCAAGCACCCAAATTTTGATCACATAACCTTGGGGATGCTACTGGTTATAGTTTACTTTTTTCAGTACTATTTTAATTTCACTAAATGAATCATTGTAATTTGAGAATTACCTAAACATAGCAAACCCTCCCTCCTATTTGTCCGCATAGCAACCCTGGAAGTTAGATTGGCCTAAGAGAGAGTTACTGACCCAAAATCATTAAGTGAACTTCCGGGGTTGAATCTGGGCTTGAATTGTGTGTGCCTGCCCCTATTCCACCACCTTTGCTGCTGTGCTAACTGGCCCCGTACAGGGCTGTACAGGTTAATCAGGGATATTCAAGGGAAAGAGAATAGGACTGAAATTGGTAGATCCTTATTTATCTCTTGTTCTGGTTCTGATCTAGATCAACTCTCCCTTCTTCTGCCTGTTCTTAATGTTTAAACCAATGTGGTGCCTCTTTGTGTTTGACCTGACTTTCAGAATTTTTCACTGAGAAATTGGGAAGCCATAAATCTTTAGTTATGCTCTGCTTCTTTCTCTTGGGCAGGAATTCCTCTGGAGAAACCTGAGATAATCACCCGGACACAGCAAGGGGGAGATCTGTATTTTCAGAATAATACTATCAATTCTCCAAAAGTTCAATTCATAGGTAAGGAAGAAGACTGAACGGGGAGTTTTGTGATGATCCACCTAACCTGTTGCCTAGTTCTTTATAGCCTAGTTTTTATAATACACACATACACTTACATATAGACAGCCATACTAAATAAGTCCTGTTTGTTCTGCTATTAGCAGCAGGAATTACGATTTAAATTACTGGGGGGGGGGGGGGGAATATGTGTGTGCAAATTCTCCAGGGATGTCTGTAGGAGAGGGTCAAAGATTATAAGATGGCGGTCACAACACTCTGATTAAAACTTTTGAACTTTTGAACCTGTTTCACATAACATGTAAAAGGGGTGAGACTTCAATAGTACAATAAAGAGTGCCATTGAGTGATTTTGACCCACTGTTATTTAAGGAGCTATCCATGTACTTAGGGGTAAGTAACCCACTGGGTGGAGCCCCCAGAGCCAATTTGCAGTCCCAAGGAACACATTCAGGTTACATTCCCAAAATTTGATAACAAAATTTGTACCAATTTTCTACTTTTTCATCTCCCAAAAGACAGAGTAGACGTAGTAGACTTTCCCAGGACATAACACACCTTTAACCTTTTTTTAAAAGTCGTGTTTTCTTCCCTGTCTCCATCCAGTCAACCCACTGCTATCAGATTTCAAAGAATGCCTCCCAAAGAAAGAATAGGAAAAGTATGCCATATGTTATTTTTCTATGAATCAGAGCAATGCCTACCTCAGCAATATTCAGTTTGGGAATCAAGAGAGAGCTTTCGTTACTTCCTTTCCTTAAGCCTATTTCTCAGTTAAATAGTGGGCCTGGGGAAAAAGGGAGACAAACTATTTAGTTTCCTTCAGAAGCAACTGCTCTTTCTTCTTTCCATTGCAGGAAGCCAACTGTCACCAACTGTTATCCAAGGGGTGGGAAAACATTCTTTTTTGAAGAGAGCCACAAAGACAGTTAAGGTACAAGACATCACAATGGAAGTACCTCAGCACAGTGTGAGTCTAGGGGAAACACTTGTCAAAGAGCCATCTTCTAACTCTATAAAAGAGGCTGCGACATCAGTGCCCTCGACTAGTACTCTCCCCCTAAAAAAGCCATTGATTTCCACAAAGCATAAATCTTCCAAAAGAAGGAAGCATCAGCCACCCAGAACAGAGGAGTTGTCTTCCACAAAAGGTAGGCCTCAACCATCATTGCTGCAGGAAACATCTGGAAAAAAGGAACCAGGAAGCCAAATTTTGACTGCCAAAGCTGGTAAACAAAAGAAGACTCTGGTTCCTCAGGGTGCTAGATCATCACAGCTGAAGAAGCCAACTGCATCAGTAGGGCAGCACCCCAAAGAGAAGAAGAAATCTAAAGTTCCGAGTGAACCACCCATGTTGAACAAGGAAACCCTCTTGGGTGAAAATATTGTCCAGGACAAAGAGCATCAGCTGGCATTTCTGGAAGTAAAAGTCAACGAAGCCCCTCTCCCGGTCACCACGTGGAATCCTCCTTTCAGTGCCACTGTAGTCTCCGATCTCACATGCCTGGATTGCGGACGGTCCTTCAAGCAGAGGTTTGACCTGCGCCAACACCGGTATGTCCATACCCGGGAGAAGCCATATGCCTGCACGTTGTGTGAAAAGTGTTTTAGGCATCCAAGCAATTTACATATCCATTTGCGGACGCATAGCGGGGAACGGCCCTATCAGTGTCCCGAGTGTGGGAAGGCTTTTTCCCAAAGTTGCAACCTTCGGACTCATTGCAAGATCCATACGGGTAACAAGCCATACAAATGCTTTGTCTGTGGAAAGTCCTTCTGCCATAGCTCCAATCTCACCATCCATCAGCGAGTACACACTGGAGAGCGTCCTTATCCTTGCTCGGTTTGCTCCAAACGTTTCAGTGACAGGTCTACCCTGGTGCAGCATGAACGGACCCACACAGGTGAGAGGCCCTATGCTTGTGTGGTCTGTGGACAGAGGTTCAGCCAGATATCTCACCTCATGAAGCATGGCCGCATGCATCCAGATACCAGTGACCCAGCAGGGCCCACTGAAGAGCCATCTTCCAACACATCCGAAAGGGTCTTCACGCCACCTCGTGGAAAAGCCTCTTTCTGAATGAAGGGTGAGAAGCCAACTGCATCAATTGAGAATCTTGCCTGGATTTCAAAAACATGGGCTTCTTCATCCAAGGCTAATGGTCAGCAGAATTGCACCACTACATAGAGGTGGCTGGATAGTATATTGGGAAGAAAAAAGAGAAACTAAGAGTTTTGATAAGCAAAATAAATGGCTGGCAGAGAAGTAGTAACAAAAAACATAGAAAGGGGTGAGAGAATTGCTAAGGCTGGAAGCCTCCCTTGCAATCAGTCCGCTGTAAATAGCTAGACTTCATTATCGCATTCAGGGAAACATCTGGAAAAAAATAGTCCCGGTATGCTATATTGTTTATAAAAACAACCCAAATACTCTTGCAAAGTTCTCTTTCCCAAGCATTTTTTTCCTTTTTAAACATTTGTGTTCTCATTCCTAACTGTTTCACAAGTCTTTTCTGTTGCCATCATCTCCAGAGATTAACATTGCATATGTATTTGAAACAGACAAAGGTGGAAAATTCAAGACATCTTTGCTCCCTTAGTCATTATCATAGAAAAAGGCAGGAAAAAGCTTCTTGTAAGATGTAAGGAAAGTGTACTGTGTTTGCAAACAACAATATTCAGTAGCTGGTCCCAAGTTTGGAGCAAATGAGAAAAAGAAATGAGCAGAGAGGCTTCTGGAGACAAAAAAAGAGCTACTTGAAAGCAGAGCCAAGATACTTTTGACACGTTAGAAATTTTGAAATGCCAGCATTTTTTTTTCCCCATTTTTCTTACCTCTGGAATTGCAGTGAATTTTCTACACCAGGATTTCCCAACCTTGACAACTTCAAGACACGTGGACTTCAATTTCCCAGCCAGCCAGAGATAATATTATTTTTTAAAAAAAATCAGTCCAAATATTAGTTAAATGTAAAGATTAAAAAGTAACTGCTTGGCTGTTTTTTATGGTCAAATAAATATTTATTTTCTAAAATGTGTCATTGGGAGAAAATCTTCCACTACATAGTTACTATAGAAATTCTTTTCTCCTCTTATGGACTGGAACCGTGAGATGGGCAATCAAAGCTCCCTTCATTGAATGGACTGGCTTTAATCTATTTTGTTCCTTGAGCAGCTTATTTATTTATTGCTGAATTATATGCAAGAGCCAAATCCTTTATTTAAAGCTATGCTCAATCCAACATTGAAGTACATGGAGTCTGGAAAAGCAAATGGATAAAATGAACTGTAAAACCACAGGTGTTAAAGTGTAATGCTAAAATAAACTACAGTATTTGGTTTATTAAGTAGATTTATGTTGTTATGGTTTCATTTACAACTATTATTGACAATTATTACGTTTAATCCTGGGCTGGAATGTTAGAAGTATTTTGAAGAGAAGCCTTAATAATGATTTATATCAGGGGTGGGATTCAAATTTTTTATCAACTGGTTCTGTGGGCATGGCTTAGGTGGTGGGCATAGCTTGGTGGTCATGTGACTGGGTGGACATGGCTTGGTGGTCATGTTATTGGCTGGGTGTGGCCAACTCAATATCACTCACATCGAGGCACGCATCTCCTCACCTGGCCTCTCATGACTGTGGGGATGCTGCAACAGTCGTAAGTGTGAAAAATGGTCGTAAGTCACTTTTTTCAGTGCCATTGTAACTTTGAATGATCACTTCACACAAGCAAAGTACCAGCAAAGGAGGAGGAAAAACTCCAGAGTCCTGCCAAGAATGTGATAAGGGTTAATGGAGAGGCAGTTTCTGTAAGCAACACCAGAATGTTTCCTTCCTGCCTTCCTTACAGGATTAGGCCAGTAATTTCTTCTAACAACCGGTTCTCTGAACTGCTTAGAATGTTAACAACCTGTTCTAGCAAATAGGTGTGAACTGATAGAATCCCACCCCTGATTTATATCATTTGCATTTGTGAGTTTTGCCCCATTTTACAATCTTTATTGCCATAGGTGTTAAGTGAATTACTACAGTTAAGTTAGTAACACAATTGTTAAGTGAATCTGGGCTTCCCATTGGCTCTGCTTAGCAAAAGGTTATAAAAGGTTATCATGTGACTCTGGGACACTGCAACCATCATAAATATGAGTCGGTTGCTAAGCATTTAATTTTTTTTTTTTTTAAACAAGTTTTATTAATTTTTAAAACACACAAATTGTCATTATTCATTACATGTTTAAACCTTTTTTCATTGTCAATTTAACAAGTCAGATAAATTATAATTCTGTTTTAAACCATTTCCATACAACATACCAAAACCTCTTATTCAATTTCTCTTTACTTCTCTTTACTCTTATTCAATATCATTATTATTATTTCATCTGTTTCTTTCTGACTTAGTTACCATTATTCTCAATCTATATTTCTACAATTTTTAACTAATTCTCCCCCCAAAAAGACATATACATACAACACACAAAACATAAAAAAAAATCTTTTTGGAAAGTAACTTGGACCCAGGTATCTCTCTCTTCATGGACTTCAATTATATTCATGCTCATCTTACATATCATTACTTATTTTATTTACCATTCTAAGCCTTCTATATTAACTTCCCCACATATTTCACACTTCTTACTTCTATCTTAATTAATCATCTTAATTTGAATCATTATATTTATATCTTTTGTCCATTTTTTATCATCCCTTTGTCTCATTCCTTATAAAAAAAAAAAAATAAGTTTCTCCTGAAATCATTAATCAGAGTATGATGCCTTTCTATCTCCCCCCTAAGTTAATCAAATTAATCTTTAAAATAATATCTAATACCCAATCCGATTTTGCTTGGTACATTCTATCTAACTAATACATCCAACATAATTAAGTACATAATTAGACAATAAATCCAAATATTAAAAAAAGATACTATAATAAAAATTTTATAATAACATCAGTACCATAGTCTTATTAAACTCTTTAATTAAAACAATATTCTAAACCTCCCCTATTATTAGGTTTTAAAGCCAATCATTTTTAAACATTTTAACATTTTAATCTCTTATCAACTCTTAAATCATTACAATACTACCATCTCATCTTATGTACCTTGCAAAATCTTTTTTTTAAAAAAAAAAATTATACTTTATCCATTATCCAAAAAAAATTTCTTTTTTTCATTTAATTTCAAAACATTGTAGCTTTTCTCCACCTTTTCCCTTTCTTTCTTCTCCCAACAAACCTTTCTACCCCCCCTTCTTCTAGCCTCTGCCTTGCCAGCTTCCCTTCTCTGTCGTATTCCTTTTCCCTTTTGTTTACTATCATCATATTGGTTTTGCACCTTATTTTTCCCTTTCTTAAATGTTTTTTTAGATCTTAAGTCCTTAAGTCCTTTAATTTTCTTCTTTTCTCTTCTTTTCTTTTCTTTCTCTCTTCCTTCTTTCTGGATCAAGTTCTGAGATTCATTAAAAATGGCTCCTTTCTTTCTTTCTTGTTCCTCTGCTGTCTTCATCTGTTGTAATGTTTGTTGATAATTAATAAGCGCCATTTCTAAGAAAAGGAAAGCTTCTTCCACACCATCTTTACCATTTTTTTTTGCTTGTTCATATTCTTTTCTTAGTTCCTCAACAGAAAGAGCCATTATAAATCTTTTCTTTTCTTTTCCCCTTCTTTCTTCTTACAACAACCAGAATATTCAAAAGAAAATAAAAAAAATAAAACAGTCCCAAAGTTATCAGTCAGTCCAAACCAAGGCAGAGTTCTCACTTTCTCCTTCTGGGGTAATATCAATCCAAGAGAAAGAAAGTCCAAATCTGTTTAAAATCTTATTGCAATATATTCTAGTCTTCAAATCCTTAAGGCATCTGCTCCAACAAAGTCTTAGCATACAAATGTTTTCTTTTTAATCCTCTCTCTTCCCACTCATCGCTTAAAACCAATTTTCACCTAAAAGAAATAGGTTTCTTAATATCCAGTTATTTATTCCGTAGGAAAAGAGGGAAAGCTATCCTTTCAGCACCTTCAAACAGCCGCTTTTTTCCTCTTCTGGCAGGTATTATTCAGAAAGTCATACTTTTCAGGAATTTTATTAGATATGTCTTAGAGTCCTAGGAGCCAAGAAAAACTTTCTCCTCTCAATCACTTTCTCCACTTCCTCCTGCGCATTCTTACCCGGCTGCCAGCTTCTTTGTGGCGGCCATTACAGACCGCCGCTGCACCGTCCTGGGAAAAGGGAGTTCTGCCGGCCAGGGAGGGAGTCTGCAGCACCCCCAAACCCTTCTCCGGATCCCCCCTACCTTCAGCTGCCCCTGCAGGGCAGCCTAGCTCCGTACCCGGCTGGGTCGGAGCCCCAAAAACGGCTAGCGCGGCAGGGATCGCGCAGCTTCGCAAATCCCTGCCGCTCGCGAAGCCGACAAAACCCACTAAGCATTTAAATTTTGATCACATGACCCTGGGGATGCCACAATGTGAAAAACAGTCATTAAGTGTGAGAAACAGTCATAAGTCATTTTTTTCGGTACTGTTGTAACTTTGGCCAGTCACTAAATGAACTGAACAAATCACACTATTACATAATTTTGTGTGGGATATGAATTGACCGGGAATACAAGGCTTGCGTCGCTTGCATTGCGAACAACATGAGGTAGTGAGGGGAGGGGGGAAAGGGCAGAGCGGGGGGAACTTGCCCCAGTCATCCCTCATGCCTCCCCTGGCCACCAGGCTGCTTCTTTCTGCTTCTTTCTTCTTCTGCTTTTGGCTGCACACAAGGAAAGCAGCAACAGTCTTTCTTTCTCTCCTCCAAGCTTCGCCAGAAATGAGTCTTTGGGACCCTGCAAGGCATCCTGCTCCAAGAGGCTGTGCCAGCAAAGACTCATTTCTGGCGGAGTTTGGGGGAGAGAAAGAAAGACTTCTGCTGCTTTCCTTGCATGAAGCCAAAAGTCTCTCTCTCCCTCCCCCTGAGAACAGAACTGGAGGCGATATCCTGCGGTCCCAAATAAAGATCGATCGATCGGTAGGAAAACGGGGATTTTTGCAGACTTTTTTGGGATTTCCTAGGGTTTCTGCTGCTTCTGCTTTTTCTGCAGCTCCTGGATGACCAAAGGGCCAGTCTTGTGACTACTGCAGCTCTGGAATATGGGACCAACTTTCCCACCGTCAGCAAGTCTATTAGTGGGATTTAAAATTATGAGTTTGGTGGTCCCTGGAGTCCAAAAGTTGGCAACCCCTGCTTTAACCAGATTCCTGCCCTGAATGTGAATCTGGAATCAGTGGTGTAAATAACTTTTTCCAGCTTAACAATGTTAACATTTGATTGGAATCTGCTTCTGGTATTTTAGGTATCCATTATTCTATATCTTGCCTTCACAATAATGAATCTGTTTTCTGTAAGACTGATAAAACTCTCCCCAGATAACCACATACAATGGTGGGCCAGTGTTTCTCAACCTTGGCTACTTTAAGCTATGTAGACTTCAGGACCCAAAATTCTCCAGTCAACATGAGCAATGGACCCATAAGTTTAAAAAAATCTTTCCATTAATAGATAGCCTGTGTTTAAAAGTTATTATAGAGGAGGCATCAGTTTTATTAGACAAGACTGAGATTGTTTTGAAAGTTGGCTTAAAAATGACAGACTAATAGAGTGATATGGAAAAAGATGCTAAATTAAAGGCTATACATCTTAATACGGCCAAGTTTGAAAAACACTGCTTTATACTCCGTTGCAATCGCGAAAGAGTTAAAAAATATATATACACCGCAGCCAGGCTCCTAGAGTGGCTCGGCGAGCGCCATCCAAAGGGAGGGGATGCAAGATACGACCACGCTTTCCCGTTCCGTCCAAAGATGGAAAGAAATGGAACGTGGCCTTCGATTTGATCCCCTTTATTTCCTCGAGGGGAGCCTCACAGCGGTGAGTCCCGGGCAGGGAGAAAGAGAAAAGAAAGCCAGCCGCGAGAGTCTCGGGCTGGAAAAACTAGGAAAACAACGCCCCGCTTTACTTCCCTCCACCAGCCACGCGGTTCCTTGTCTCGAGAGGCTTTTTTGGATCGCCGGAGGGTCACCTTTTGGGGGCAGAGCGGGCCCGCCTGAAGTTGGTTTTGGGCTTGCCCTGGTCAATGCACGCGCGCCTTTCCACCTTTTGGAAGGGCGTGCACGAAAGATTCGGATCTTCCTAGGCTGATTCGCGCTAGTTTTAGGAGGGGGAGGGGAGGGGAGAACCGCGCTGTACAGTGCAAGCATGCAGGTGGAGGATGTTGGCATGCTTTTGCTTTGAAAACCAACCCAAAGAAGCTCCCTGCAAGTCGAGCATCGCCGCAGCCGGAAATCAAGGGTCTTCCCCCCCACACTGCCCCCCGCTTTCTCTCCTTGTTGGGTTAGTCTTCTGCTTGCAGGGAGGCTTGGGGAGCTGCTTTTGGCAGCGCCAGCATTAAAAACCGTGCGCTTCCCATTCGTGTCCTGAAAGTGGTGCAGTCCGCTCTTCCGCTGCGCGCGGAGGCGAGAGGGAAGCGCGAGGTAGGCTGCATGAAAGCGGAAGGTGAGCCAGCAGGGCCCTTCCACTGATTCTTTATTTTGGTGGGGGGTAGGTGCGTGTTTCGTTATTTAACCCCTCTCCTCCCAGAGCTGCTTTGCTAAAGGGGTCGCGTCCGTGTCAGAGGAAGACACGGGACGGCGATCTCTGATCGCTTCGTTGGCCAGCCCGGAGCTCATGGTAGCTGGCAATGGTCGTGATAACCTTCACGAGGCCCTCCGGTTATTTTATTTTCTGCTCTCCTTGTGTATTTCGTTGCCCTGAAAATAATGTTGCATTTTTTTCTTTCATTTTGGCATGGGAAAGAGGGTGTGGCATATTATATATTATTAATAATAATAAGTACTATAATTATAAACTTTTGTTCATTAAGCATGTGACTCAGTCAACGAATATTTAAAATTATTATTATTGTTGTTATTATTTGTAATTTTGGACTTGCCAGTATTACTCCTTTCCTCTCTCAAGATGTGCCTATCTTGTGTTTATTCCTCTGAGCCATTTCAGATGCTTTCACCTTTTCTGCCTTGTGACAGAATCTGCGTCTCAGGATGCTTCTCTTTCTTCAGCTCTTTTCTAAAAGCTTTGGGAAAAGACTCTCCTCCCCTAAGTCATGTAACTAAGATCATCTATCTACATTTGAAATAACTTCATATTGCTTTCTTGTGTTTTCTTGTTCTGTTTCTTTTCCTAGTTCTTTTCCTTCCTTCCTATTTTTAGATTGTAAGAGCCTTGGGACAGGGAACTGACCTCATTCTTTATGAATAATCTCTACATGGATCGTTGATATAAAAAAGATAAAAAGAATAAATAGGAAGCAGAATAAGGCGATAGAAGAGACTGCAAAAATGCAAATAGAAAGCCAGCAGCGTTTTCTCTGATGGTCTAAATCTTTATTTGCATTCTTTAAAGAATGAGACATGTCTACAGTATTATTGTTTGTTTTCTCTCTTATTTGCAGCTCATTCTTCTCCAGTATTTTTGTGCTGATAAGAAGGATAAATTCCACTTAGTTTTATTTACATATTTTGGGTATGTAATCAGAGCACCTAAGGGACTGTATTTGATAAATAGTTTTGATGAATGGCTACTACATTGAGAATAATTAAAAGGCTGTATAAATTTGTCAATGTTTATGCTTATCTCCCAGCAAAGTATTTTTTTAACCAACACTGCCTTTATGGTAAGAATGGCAGCTGAACACTTTTGCCTGAGAGATAATTAGGAATAAATCTTACCAAATACAATCAAGTGGCATTAAAAAAAAGAAGGTATGAAGAGAATGTTGACATCAAAGCATTGCATCAAAGCTATAATGCAAACTTCAAACAAAACAGTAACCAAGGAAATTTGGTGGCATAGATTAAAAATAATGTTACTTTAAAAGACTTCTTTTAGGGATACTATGAGTCTCCCATTTTTTCTGACAGGAGTATGTTCACACTGCCTTGTTCCAGATTTCACTAACCCTTGCCGAAGTCTGGCTCCAGAGCACTTTGAGAGAATCTGCAGCAGAGACACAGCTGCTCCATTGGTAGCTCTTCGGGCCACAAAATGGCGGCACAGCAAAACCCAAACAAGATGGCTGCTCTTTCAAAAGAGGTAGAGGACATGAGATGTCCATTGCAGGTCCCAGTGAAAATAGAAACTCCATGCCAAGTAAATAACAGTGCAAAAGAGAGAGAAGGAAATAGCCCTGCCATCATTCCATCTGCAACCAGTGAAGATTTCACAAGAGCAGTGTCCAGGGTGAAGCAAGAGCTGGCCGAAGAGCCACCACAGAGCTGGGAGTGTCAGTGGCAAAGGGTGCTAGAGGTGGTGCCTGCTCCCTTCATCACTCCAGTCTGGGACAGCCTGCAGTTGCCTCCTTTGACTCAGGGGGGCAGCACCGAGGCCTACCTGGCCACCTTCGAGCGTGTGGCGGATGCTTCCCAATGGCCACGGGAAGAGTGGGTGACTCACCTTGTGCCAGTCCTTAGTGGACAAGCTCAGCAGGCCTATTTCAGCCTAGATGCAAAAGACAAAGCTGATTATGGGAAGGTGAAAGTGGCCATTCTGAGGCTGGATGACTACCTCGCCATCGAGGCACACCGCCAGCGTTTCAGGCATTTCTGCTACCAAGCTGCTGATGGGCCTCGGATGGCATGTCAGCAACTGCAGCAGCTCTGTCATTGCTGGCTGAGGCCTGAAGGCCAGAGCAAGGAGCAAATCCTGGATCTGCTCATCTTGGAGCAGTTCCTTGTCATACTTCCACAGGAAATGCAGGACTGGATTAGGGAGCGCGGTCCGGAGACGTGCGATCGAGCGGTGGCCTTGGCAGAGGAATACCTGCAGGAGCAGCAGGAGACAGAGAAATGGGCCCAACAGGTGAGGATTGGCTAGTTTTTCCAGGGAGGATGAAGGATCCTCCAGAATAGGCAAAAGACTCTCTTTTGCTATCTTGGGAGATCAAGAAAAGTCAGGGCTGTGAGTTTAAAATAACACCTAGAACAGGACTGTCAAACTCAAGATCTGCAGGCTGAATCCAACCCTTGGTGTGCTTAGATCTGGTCTGCAGGTCTGCCAGTGAAAACAGCTCGAGGGGGCTGTGCCCCCTTTTTGCTGGCAGAGTGCTACAGGAGGCTATTCCCATCCAAAAATGTAGCCTGGGGGGCCATCTGGGCCACCATAGGTGCCCTAGATATGAGTGACATCAAGCTGGCCACATACACCTTCCCCTCGTGCCCCCCCCCGGCCTCCTGAGGTCAAACAACCCTGATGCAGTCCTCACTAAAATCAAGTTTGACACCCGTGGCCTGGAAAAAGGCAGTGACAGACCACTCCCGTTCTCTTGGTAAGAAAACTTAATGAAGTTGCCAGGAGTAAAGTTCAGCTCATAGGAGATTTTTAAAATTTTTATACATAAACATGCATAAAATATTTATAGATACATATACATACACATATGTAGACATGGGCATTGTTTTAGCCTTTATAAGTTGCTAACGAATTAGGCAATAACGTATACCCTGAAACCGTCAATCTAGGTAGTCCTCAACTCACAACTGATTGTTAGCACCTGTTCCAAGTTCTGATGGAACTACTTGGGAATATTTACAACCCAGATTTGATCCTCTACTTGTCATGTGATTGCGGCACTCAGCAATTGGGCCACATTTGCAGCATCTGGTCATGTGACTGCATTTTACCACAGTTTTGCCAAACACTGGCATTTACTTTCACTTTTTAGCAAAACTGTGCTCATAGCAAAACTGTTGGTTCACTTAATGGCCACCACAAAAAAGGTTATAAGATCAAGTTGGTCATCTGACCAATCTGCTTTAGAACCATCATGAGTCTAGGACTATAAAGACAGACTCCAGTGTAGTTATAATTTGAGGTCTATCCCTATTTCAGAAAGTGTATAATAAATTATGGCCTTTTATATGTCTATTCTGAAAAAGAGTATTCACCCCCAAACAGATATACAGAGACATATATATATATGGTTACTCTGTACTAAAGTTGTAGGTTATGTCCACCATTACTGTGTAAATGAGCCAAGTTGGATAGATTGTGGAAGGAACTGGGTTGGGATGATTGCAGTGGGATGATTGCAGTGCTTGTTACTGCCATTGGAATACAGCAATCAGTATTTGTTTTGACTACTGAGGAATCACATATTACGCTGCAAATGCTATATTTTCTGTTCTAGTTTTATTTATTTTTTATTGTATGGGCAGTACTTTTATTTGTATCAATATGGACTAGAAACTTGACTAACATGTCATCTGCACTCTACATCAATTTCAAAGGCCTACCCATTGTATCCAGCATAATTCTAACCATGTCTCTTTATCTTTGTTTCAGGTAGCTGTACCAATTGAGATGGTGATAGTTAATTCTCCGACTGTAGATCAGGCCCAGACAGAAGCAAAATATCTCCACAAAGAAATCCAACAGGTTGACAATGAAAATAGTATTTCTCAAGGTAACTGTTTTATGTTTTTAAACTATATATGAAAAGAAAAATTACATATTCCACAGTGTTGTTACATAATGCAGTGCTCAGTCATTATAATAAAAAGCAGGGGAAACCTGAAAAATTAAGTTTTAACAAAAGAATTCCAAAAAGATTCAACCACGTTGCTCAAAATTCTTCATTGCCTCTTGGTTGAAAAAAAAATCAGACTGTCTAGAAACACATTTCAGCAACCTACTTCTACAAGTCAATCCATGTCTATTATTTCCCTGTGCCTCCAAAATCTATGATTCTTGATTTCCAAATATTGGAGATATTATCAAAAAAAAAAACACCATGCAATTCATATGCAATTTTTAATATAATAGGAAATGAATTTCATGTTACTTAAAGCAGCCTTCTACTTTATAAAGGCAGGATAAGTCAGTCTGATTATTCAGGAACTTATAAATAATTGGAAAATATAATTAGCCCCTTTTTTCCTTATAAAAAGAGGGAATTTTGCAAAATAATCATAATAAAAGTTTTCCAGAAATAAAGGATTTGTTGCTTAATTTTTTTATTATGTAAGTTTTGTACTACAGATTGTATTACAATCTGACTTCTGTTAACCCTTAACTTGGATCCTGGATTAATTTATTCCCTTAAACCTTCTGAGAAAGGAAATGGATCAAAAAATGTGACCCAATATTAGTGCTTGATTTAAAACCATTCTTTTAGGAATCGTTCAAAGTTACAATGGCACTAAAAAGTGACTTATGATCCATGCTCACACTTACCACCATCACAATATCTTGCAGTCATGTGATCAAAATTCCGAGGGCTTGGAAACCAGCATCTGTTTTGCAATAGTTGCAGCATTCTTCCTAGCTGGTTTCTGACAAAAGGTTAATGGGAGATGTCAGATTTATTCATTCATTTAACAACAGCAGTGACAATGTGGCAAAAGTAGTAAAATTAAGCACGCTTCACTTCATGACCTTTCTTTGCAATGGAAATTCTGGTCCCAATTATAATAAGCCATATGTATATGTATCTGACTCTTATCTTACAAAAAAAATTAAAGGTAACCTTGCTTTTAAGGAATAAAGTAGTTTATTGCCAGTACATGTAGTCCTACGGTTCGTTTAGTAACTGTTCAAAGTTACAGCAGCACTGAAAAAAGTGACTTACGACTGTTTTTCACACTTAACAACTGTGGCAGCATCCCTGGGGTCATATGTTTGATGCTCAGCAACTGGTTCATATTTATGATGGTTGCTGTGTCCCAGGGTCATGTGATCAGTTTTTGTGATCTTCTGACAAGCAAAGTCAATGGGGAATCCAGATTCACTTAACCACCGTGTCACTAACTTAACAACTGCAATGATTCACTTAACTGTGGCAAGAAAGATCGTAAAATGGGGCAAAACTCATTTAACAAATGTTTCAGCTACATAAATTTTGGGCTCCATTGTGGTCGTAAGTTGAGGACTACCTGTATTAAGCAAGAGGGAAGAGCAATTAAAGGAAGAAATTACATGAGAATATTGAGGAAAAATCTTGTCTTAATCTCTTAATAAAATTCTCCCACCTGGTTTTAATGCAAAACATCCAAAGGACTCTGGATAGAGAACTTTCATCATGCCCTTAAGATTTTCAGAGAGGTTTTGAGATATTCAACCCTAGAAAGAAAGAAAAAAATGAGCCAATCTTAAGTATAATTGGGACTGCCTCTCTACCTGTTTCCTGTTCTCTCCAAACAAGCAGGGTGAATGGCAGATAAAACAGTGAAGGTAAGACTGTGGAATGGAAGTGAGATGAACGTTAAGGGTAAAAATTACACCAAGATGAAGAAAGGATGCCTTGTTTTTAAAAGAGGACAGATTTGATGTAATACATTGGATGAGGAGTAGGGACCTTCTGACTTAAATTTGACTTACCAGGGTAAAATGTGAAGAAGCTTAAATTGTTATATGCTGCCCTTATTTTTTGAAATGATTATATGTACAAGCACCATTAAGCTGAGCTTCCCAGTATGCTGAATTTAACAGTGGGGCCACAACTTACTTATTTTAGGAATCACATCCTCTGCTAAGGCAACATATATCATTCTGATTAGCTGAAATAATTGTCAGCTTTGGAAACCGTATTAGTACCAGACCACATTCTTGAGCCTGGGAAAATGGGAGGGGGGAATTCCTTGGAGCGTATGTGGTTAGACATAATAGCATTCTTCTTCTAAGTCAAGGTCATATTATTTCTGCACCTGGCTGAGGAGTGGTTGAGGGGATATCTCAGGTTGGGACGGATGGTGATTGGGGCATGTGATGCAATGAGGGGAGCGGGCGGGCGGGGGGGATTTCTAATATTTTACTTATTGAAGGGAAACCTGGAACTTTCAGGTTCAGGATTTTCCAGATGTGCCAGTTTACTACTGTAATAAAAGGAACCTTTGAGAAGATGTTTGTCTCGGAGTTATTTGTTGGAGCTGAGGTTTTCTGGAATGCTGATAACGATATTCCATAGATATAATGTTAGGACAGGTACTTCTTGAGTTATGATCACAATTGAGCTCAAAATTTCTGCCTGTAAGCAAGATAGTTAAGTGAGTTTTGGCCCATTTCATGTCCTTTATTAGCATAGTTGCTAAATGAATCACTGCAGCTGTTAATTGAATCAGGTTTCCCCATTGACTTTGCTTTTCAGAAGATCATAAAACATGATTACATGACCCCGGGACACTGCCATCCTAAATACATACCAGATGCCAAGCATCTAAATTTTGATCATGTGATCATGGAGATGCTGCAACAATAAAAGGTCATTTTTTTTCCAGTGCTATTGTAACTTCAATCACTAAACAAATGGTTGTAAGTTGAGGACTGCCTGTATTTCAATAATTTTTATTTTAAACGTAATTTTTGTAAATGAATATTTGCAATCTGTTTTTTTACATAAACAGCCGAGGAAGCCCTCTGCAAATTTCTCAGGTGGTGATGCCATGGAACTCTGAATAGTCAGTATCTGGTAGAAATGAAGTATAAATATAAGGCTGGCAAAAAAGTCATTTGTCAAAACTCAGAAGTACTTCTGGTTGACTGCGAAGAAGCATTCAACAAATGAAAGGCCATTAGAATACAGTTTTTAAGGAATCAGAAAATAGAGAGATGTCCTTGCTTATTCTGTAAGCAAGAAAAAGAGAAAACTATTTTGTATTTGACTGCATTATGGCCAATCTTTTATAGTGTGCCAAAACATGACCTATTCTAATCATTTAAAAAGTAAATGATCTAGATTCCCATAAGCTAGGCACAACCCATATGTGTAAATCACAATCACTAAATATGTTAAGCTAAAACCAGATAACCATGTTTTGCGTTAGTTCAATGTGGGGACTACGGGTGAGTTTTTACATTATAAAGTACCATTTCACAACCTTTTAAACATCTGTCTCGTGTTATCCTAAATCAAGTAAGTCACATTATGTCTTAATATATGTTTGTATTCTTAATATGTTTGTGTTCTGCCTCTGCAATTTAATTTTTCAGTTTAATCCTGGCTGGTGGTAGTTCTCCAACACCTTTCCACATTACATGTAGCCCTCAACTTCACACCACAATTGAGCCCAAAATTTCTGTTACCAAGCTTGATAGTTAAGTGAGTTTTGCCCCATTGTACAACCTTTCTTGCCACAGTTTTTAAATGAATCACTGCAGTTGTTAAATTAGTAATATAGTTGTTAGGTGAATCTGGCTTCCCCAGTGATTTTCCTTGTCAGAAGCTGATCACATGTCTCTGGGATACTGCAACCATCATAAATATGAGTAAGTTGCCAAGCATGGAGATGCTGTTGTAAATCAAGAACTACCTGTACTACATACCTTAATAAACTGAATATAGAAACTATAAAATTTTGGTCTTTCCTATCACTTGTCTTTCCTCAATCAGAAGGCAGTTTTGCCAGAATGGGAACAAAGGATCTGCACCAGGGAGAGATGGAGGCAGAGGAACGAGGATGGAGGTCTCCTGAATTCGGGGAGGTCCTTTTCCCAAAAAGCAGTGATCTTCCCAGAAGATCACATGTGAGCAAGTGTGATTCAGAAAGGCCACAGAAAGGCAGCCTTTCCACAAGAATGATTAAGGATGAAGTGTTTGGGGGAGTTCCAACCGACCTTGAAACGAAACGACATCTGTGTAAGGAATGTGGGAAAAGGTTTCGGAAGAAGTGGGATCTCATCAGGCATGAAAGGATCCACACGGGTGAGAAACCGTATCAATGTCCAGAATGTGGGAATAGCTTCAACCGGAATACAACCCTCACAAAACATCTCCTCATTCATTCAGGAGAGAAGCCTCACCAGTGCACGTACTGTGGAAGGAGGTTCACACGGCGTTCACATGTTGTGAATCACCAGAGACGCCACTCGTGGTAGGTACCCCTCTGTTTCTCTTAGTTGTGTGGTTGGGAAACTCATAATTCACTAAATCCCCCTGTAGGCCATCTTGGGCTCTTAGGGGTAAAAGAAACAGCTAAAACTAAGAAAAAAAATAGATATGCAAGTTGAAAGGAAATGTGGGCAGGAGGAGCATGATATGATCTAAGAAATCTTTATTGACATTTGCTTCTTAAAGGATCATAATAAATCAGTATTTCTCAGCCTTGGCAACTTTAATATATATAGACTTCAATTTCTAGAATTTTCTAGCTAGCATGCTGCCTGGGGAATTCTGGGAGTTGAAGTCTATTTGTATTAAGGTTGACAAATACTGCAACAAATGTTCAGATTGCAGAAGAAAGGAGGTAAGCTGTACTAATTAGGGTGGAGAAAAAACATTTTCATTGGAGCTACGAAGTTGCCTGGACATTGAAACAAACACCTGATGGGATATACGGTGAAACAAAAACAGATGGGGTATACGGTGACCTCCAGAGTCCCAAACTACAGTCCTAGCATAATCTAGTTAATATTGTGAATGGTGAGCGATGCTGGAAGTAGAAATCAGCAACAACTGGAGGGCTACAGCATTCCTGTTCCTGATTTAAGGAGATGGAGGCTGTTGTCTGATTAAAGAAGGAGGTAAATTACTATATAATCAGACAGCCTTACTTGAGTGTCTTTTGCAATTATCCAGAAATCAGCCTCATTGGGCACAGGAACTATGACTGATTAATACACTTATTTGAGTACAACATATTAAAACACTGTTTCTCAACCTTAGCAGCTTTAAGAGATGGGGATTTTCCCAGAATTCCTCAAAGAGCGTGGGTTTTGATCAGCATGGCTGTCTGAAGAATTCTGGGAGTTGAAGTCCACACTCTTAAGTTGGTAAGGTTGAAAAATACTCTCTTAGATACATCCCAGAAATTTAGCCAACTCAGATTCAGGAGACGAATCATTTTAACTCCAAAGCACCCTAAGCCAGTTGTTAGATAAAATTTCTGGCCAGAAAAATCATCCAATGCAGAACACTAGCCACTTCTAAGCCATTGTCCAGTTAATTGTCTAAGCCATTGTCCAGTTAATCTTGCAAGGAAACTATGTGATGGACAGCAACTGGAAATACAAGACAAGGGATTACAAAATTTGTAGCTATGCTCTATCAGTCAGTCATTTGTCACCCCAAAAAGGGATTAGCTGCTGTGGCCAAATCATCATATCTGCCTCCTGCCTGGTTATCTACTGGGTCCTGGATGAAAAGAACCCTTACCAGTGCTTTCTATGTACAAGGATCATGGATGCTGAGCAGAACCATAAAGAGAGATTAGGGAATCCATATTTTCCCATTGGGTCCTATTAACGTGATTGCCTACTTCCAATCTGTCTATAAACTTGGATTAATAGCAGCCTGTGATAAAAGTATGGCAGAGCAAGTGGCTTTTCTTCTAAAATGACTTCTGCATCCTAGTTTCAGTCTCTGGCATCTTTACAATCAGAGAACCGATGAGAGAGCATCTGGTTAAAGACCCAACAGGACAGGTAGTCCACAAGTTACGACCATGATTGAGCCTGGAAATTATAGTTGTAAGTCATGATAGTCATAAAGCAAATCACATGCCCAGATCCAATTTTACTACCTTTTTCATGTGGATATTAAGCGAACACCATAGTCGTTGTGAACCTGTTGTTCACTATGGAGCAGGTTTTTGCCAGAATTCAGAAGTTAAACTCCAGTTTCCAGCAAAAACATCATAAATTGTAATGTGACCATGGAGTGCTATAAACAGCCATAAATGCAGAGGGTTGCTGAGTGCACAAAATGCCGTCATGTGATCACAGGAGGGGGAACCCAGCGTCAGAACTTCAAAACTGGGTTGTAAGTATCTTTTGGAGGGTTCATCATAAATTGAACAGTCACTAAGTGACCAGCTGTAAATCAATGACTATTTATATCTAGGACCTATATTATTAGTTTGGAATGTATATAAATGAATGACATGCACACCAATTTTTCACTTTCATTTTAAATGACTGGATCATTTTTTTTCTGAATGTCCTCTTCAATCCTTTTCTAAATGTTGAAGGCTGTCCAATTTCAGCTTAAATTGTGGCTCATTTGAAAGAAGACAGGTCTTGATTTCCTTATGATTCTGATTATCTGTCCTCTATTTTGTTTGCAGCCAAGGAAGATCTTGACAAAAGGATCTACCGCTTCCAGTCTGAGCAACAGATTGAGAAGTCCTGTATGACGGGGGAATAAAGGTAGTTCGGTTTGTGTCCTGCAGGGCTTGGAAACTAGACCAAGGGTAGGAGTGATGTGGATTATTGACTATTTGCTATTTATCCACATATTGAATATGATCAAAATGTGCTAAGGACACACAGCTCTCAGGGGCATCCATTCTGTTGAGAGTACAAAGGAAAACCTGTACATATTTATGCCATTCAGTAACAGTAGAAAAACTAAGACTCCATCCAAGTCAAAAGAGTAATTTATCCACATTTTACTTGATCCAGAGCGGCAGTGAGAGATTGAGTTCCTGTTTATTTATTCTGTATTATTTGGACTGCTTGCTGGCTACAGATGAGTATATCATCATGCTACTAATTTAGCCCTTAATATAGATGAATGGATGCTCCTGGGGAAATTGCTAATTTTGATCAGTATTTTTGTATCAGCTAAAGCTAAATCCTTTACCTGCTTTGCTGTACCCATGCCCAAAAACAAATGATGCTCATTAAGGAAGTAAGATTTAAAGGCAAAACATCTTCCAGTAATATCTGCCAATAAAGACTGGCAAAATTATCCTTGCCAACTATTTTGGAAGGCAGTCCATAGATTTAACCTATGAAGGGATGGAGCTCTCTGAAAAAGTGATACTAACCATTAATTCAGGATAAAAGAAATTCCAAGTTTTAAGTAAGAAACAAGACTGATTGATTGACCAAGAGGCACTGACCTGGTATGCTCTTAAATGGAAATTTATATCCAGAATATGTCCCCATCATTGAGACTTTTGCATGTCAAGCCGCCCAGATGTAGGTATACGTTTGGCAATGCAATTTGGGGAGGGAAGGCCAGATAGGAAAACAGGAAGCAAAATGGTTTCATGGTATGTTGTGCTTGCTGTTACGGATTTTTATATTGCTCTGTGGCAAGTCCTTAGGGCTGATCACAAAGTTAGAAAATTGTGGCCCTCAAATGGCTGCCGAATACAGCTCCCAGCATTCCTCACAACTGGCAATACTGGAATAATGTGAAGTGAAAATGACTTGGTTATTTAATGATTCATTTTTTATTCTGTACAGTAGAAAACCAGTGCAACATTTGTTGACATAAGCTATTTCCCCCTTTTTACAAAGTCTGAAAACTGCTTAGAGATTTTTGATTACAGAATTCATAAATTAATTTTCACAGACATCTGTTTTAATGTATTGTCAAATCATTTTGGTTTTTCAAGCTTCTTAAAATCCTATTCTAACAGCAGTACATATATTTCACATAAGAGGAAAAAATGATTTTGCTTCAAAGCTGGGTCCATTTTAAAAACAGTACACCAGATAAAATCTGGAGTAACTTCAAATCCTACGGCTTGATCATGTGGCCCTTATGTGAGGAATATTTATTTTCTAGGAATGATCTTTTATATACTCTTCAGTTTCTATGGCTGCCTTTTTAGCATTATAGGATAACTATCTTTATAATAGACTTCCAAGTTTATTTTGTACACTATCATAATCAACAAAGACTCATGTCAGTTAACTTCATTAAAAACATGCTACCATAATAGTTCAACTGATAAACTTTTAACCCATTATTTAGAAGCATGAATTTATTTAGAGGGTTTACGCAAACTACTATGCACCCAATCCTCTCATCTGCAATATTTAGTTAATACCAAGCTAAAAACAGAGTTGTAAGAATCACTGAAAGTGTTTGTTAAATGCTTTGCATAAATGAGAAAAAAGGCCACATAAAATCAGAAATGTGTTATCTGAAGAATATCTCTGCACTTCAGAGTGTCTTTTTTTACAATCCATTTAAGCATTCAATGTGCTACAGGTACAAATTACAATATAAAATAGCAATATTATTTACATACTCATTTTAAGTTTACTGACTCTTTCAGTCCAAAACACCAAGTTTACATACTTTGCAGCCAGAAATTTTGGAAATGGAAACTTGGAACTAGTTCTTCTCATCCTAGTTAATGTTTCTGTGCACTTCTCAAGCATTCCTACCTCTCAATCCATAAACATCCAGCATGACTATGGTCCTTCAATTTAATTATTCCACTTAATGAACATTAAATATTGTTTGTTACATGATTGTGTGGGGGGGGGGGGGGCATAAAGGCGGAGACTCCAGCCCTAAGCTGTTTTTTTAGACTTTTGGACATCAGACTAAGAGAAACTGAATTGTACACCATGTTGAGATCTTCTGATCCACGCTCAGCAAGGAAATAGGTCTTAGGTCACTTTTTAAGCGTCTCCTTCATGGTTGCAGTTCATCAGCCCAATGTTTCTGCAGCATAAAAGTGATTATATGGGTGAAGTCATAAGTAAAGCAAGTACAATATATATATATATAATGAAAAATAAAAAGTCTCAACCTGTCTATAACCAAAATTATCAGTGAAAAGAGGAAAAATATTGATCCAGATAAGAAAATATTAACTTAGAATTCAAAGTTTCAATTAAAACAGGGCATAAAACCACAAAAACAGTTGAACTTAATTCAGGAAGTAAACATTTCAAGATAAACTACCCTAGTCTAGGAAGAACAGCAAGAGCTTTACCTGAGAGGAGGTAGGATCGGCCTCTAAGTTACCATAGCACCCTTTATGGTGACGAATCAGATCTCCCCAAAGGATAAGATTCTTGCAGCTGAGGAAAAGGGGAGAACCACAAAGTTTTAGGGTCACATCAAGCCATAAAAGCTGGCTGGGTGACTTTAGGCCAGTCACATTTTCAGCTCAACCCACCTCACAGAACTTGTTATGGGGAAAATAGAAAGAGGAAGGTGTGCTAGGTATGTTCACCACCACCTTAAGTTAGTTATAAAAAAATAAAAGTGGGACAAAAACCAATAAATAAATGGAGCTAATTGGGAAACAGGTGCAAGGGCAGAATACTAGCATCTACATCCCTTCCACATTCCCTAATGCGCAGGAGAAATTGCTTACCCCGGGCACTGCCCTTCGATGGGCAGAATATGATTAGGCTCCTTTTCCAGGAAAAGGCGAGACAGGCAAAACATATGAGCAGCCATGGTACAAGTTGGGTGAAAACAGTGCAAGGGAATGTCCTCATCTCCATCCTGCAAAGAATTTTAGAAGTGCACTTCAATACAGAGGAACCTGCTGCTCCTCAAACAAATACAGGGTTTTGCCACTATATTCTGATTCTATGTCCAGTTATTCCCCACTCTTCCTTGGTCAAAGTTGTTTTTTCCAGTTCATATCCAATTCTGCCTTAAAGAAGGCATCTTAGAAGCTCAGCTCCCATTTTATTAGAGCAATTTCGCCTCTTAGGATCCACTCAGTTTCTAGCCTTTCCAGTTGTGGAAAGAATATAGAGCATCCCAGATTGTTACCTGAAAGGTCTTCAGACAGACACTACAATGTTTTGTGGTCACCACTTGTTCCTCTGGAGATAATGGTTCAGCACGCTTGGAGTCTTTGACAGCTCGAACGGGCCCAAAAGCTATGGGCATGTGTAAGGGGGGTTCCAAACCTGGGGGGAACTCTCGGCAGTACTCCTGCTTGAGCCATCGTATGGTGAGTGGCAGACGGCACCATGGGGCGGTTTGCAGCATGTGGGCTAAGACACGCAAGCGGAAGTCAAACGGACGCTCCCGTGTTCTGCGGCGGGTGACATGGGTGAGACGGCGGGACGAGTGAGGGTGTTGCCAGGCCCATTCAAACTGTAAATTGGCAAGGGGGGGGGGGGGTGTTAAATCAAAAGGGATTGCTGAAACTTAGGAAGTAATGAAGAGAAAGGGAAGATCTGCCCACCTACTCTTAGGGTTTAACTATGGCTTTTTCAGTAACTGGTAGTCCTCGGCTTGCAACCACAATTGGGACCGTTGCTAAACAAGGCAGCTGAGTCACATGCAAGTTTATAACCTTTTTTGCCATGGTTAAGCAAATCATTGCAGTTGTTAAGTGAATCATGCAGTCATTAAGTGAGTCCCACATTGACTTTGCTTGTTGGAAGCCAGTTGGTAAAGTTGCAAATGATGATCACATGACCCAGCATACTGTGACTATCAAATACATACTGGTTGCAAAGTATCCAATTTTGATCACATATCCTGCAACAGGAGTAACTGAGGATTGGTTTTAAGTTATTTTTTTCAGTGCTGTTTTAACTTTGGACAGACTAAATGAATGAGTTGTAAGTCAAAGACAATCTATACTCAACTGGCTGGGTTCCCACAACATACTGAACCCCAAATCAATTACGTTGGGTGAACGCACAGAATCTCAAGCTAGCTAACCACATTTTAGCTTGCCACGTTCTGTGAATCTTGAGAAAGAGAAAATAAAATAAGTGCCTTACACGCAGAGCAGCCACATCAGAGGGGAAACCATGGACAATCAACACCATGTCCCTGCAAGAAGAAAGGAATGCATGAAGCTCAAAAGGATAGCAACTCATTTGATGCAGAAAGTTCAAATTTCAGCCTTCAAGAAACTGGATTTTCACCTCACTCAAATCTCATCCCAAAAGGGGGGGGCAGATAGTGCAAAAATGGTTCCCTGTAGAGCAGTGTTTCCCAACCCAGTCATTGTAAGATGTGTGGACTTCAACTCCCAGAATACCTGCTGGCTGGAGTGTTCTGGGAGTTGAAGGCCACATCTTAAAATGGCTAAGATTGAGAAACACGCCTGTGGAGCTTCCCAAGTTTTTCCACCTACATCTGTTTGGGGGTAAGAAGGAACGGTTGTAAACTTCAGAAATGGTTTGCAAACATAGCATCTTTTACACACTTGTGAATTACCATGGTCCACGTCCACTTGTCTTCCAGGCCCCACCACTCTGCTTCCCAGCATTGTGTTGGTCTATGCGTCGTTCAGGATTGACAGTGAAGCCAATGTAGGTCCGCCCCTGGTAACGGGGGTTGGTGCAGTATAGTAGATATACCCCAAAGAAGCCACGTATTTCCACCACCATCTCTCTCCCAGAGGGAGGGAACAGGCCGAAGAAACCTACATGAAAGAAGAAATCCAGTGTTAGAAAAGCTGAACACCCATAACCATCCATCATCAGAATCCAACAAATGGGACTGATAACTGCCAGGGAATCAGTAGCTGAC